TTTTAGAGAATTTTATTTGCATGCAAGACAAAGTGGATAAAAGAAAAAGGTAATTGTCAACTGGATAAATGTTATGGTTAGCACAAACTACAACTATCACAACTAGGAATTCTATGCCATATAACAACAACAATGATAACATTTGGGAACACAAAATGTGAAAGCATGTATGATGCTTATTCAATAACAACAAAATCCCCATCAAACACTCTATACAAGCACTTCAAATAGTCAACAAAGAATGGAAACCCTAGAAATCCTGGTTTAAGTCCATTATGGGTTACGATTTCCTTATTGGGCCTAATGGGCCAATAAGCCACCAATTTGACTATTTTGGGCTTAAAACTCTTAAATGGGCTCTAATTGGACCCACTCCCATTTATTTTAACATTTTGGGCCATATTGGGCCTATAATCAAACAAAATACCCTAATGGGACTTATTGGGCAGTAACAAATCTAATTAGCCCTAATGGACCATAAAACTCATTCTTTGATTTATTTTGGGCCGTGAACCATCTCCAAAGATCAACTGGGCCGAAAAATCATCAATGGGCCATAATATGGATTTAATCACAAAAAAAGGCCCCAAATTCTTTCTTTCCTCTACCTCTCTAGGCCCAACTAAAAAACTTAGGGAGAAAGAGTTGACTTTTATATGCCACCTCACAGTTATACTTGGGATATCCATGCAACTATCTCATACTTCCAAGCATCTATCGCTTCACTCTCTCTCCTCCCCCCTCTCTTTTCTTCTTCAGCCGAGAACACAAAGGAAAAACACACACACCTCACAAATTCTCTCCAAACACTCTCAAAGAACACTCTTCACTTCTCCTTCAAAGTTTTCGAGATTAAGAGCTTTTCAAGGAGTTTATTCCACAAAAATCATCATTCTAGGTAAGTTAATGCTTGGATCCATGGTTTAGCTTCTTGAGATTGTTATAATCCCCTTCTAACTCATAAAAGTTCATGATCATGCTTCTTAGAACCCATCTAAGCCGAATTCTACTCAAAGAAGCTTTGTAAGGCCGAGAATAGCATCAAACTTCTTCCATTTCTTCTTCAAATCGAAAACAGCAAGAAAAGGTGAGTTCATACCCCTCTATTTTCGGTTTTCATATGTTTTCTGGGAGAGAATACAAGTAAAATGTGTAGATCTATGTGTATGTGTATGTTATGTGTGAATTCATGTGTTTATGTGATAAATACATAACAAAAAGAATGGAAATCTTGAGATCTATGGATATAAGAGGAAGATAAACATGATCTAGAACATCTTACACTAAACAGGTAAGAAAATTACCCTCTAAGATTAAAGTATACATATTGCAACATAAAACCCACTTTTGGGCTAAAGTCTCCAAACAAACGAAAGTTGGGTTGAAAATTGTTATTCACGGTTTTCTCAAGGATCAAAAGAGTCAAAACAGTAAAAATAAGTGTTTTTATGAATATCAAACTCTTTTAAAGGTTAGAAATGAAATTTATGGCTTAATGGGCCAAATTTTGGGCTTTTCGGCCTAATGAGCCAAAACTTGTAAAATCTTCAACTTTCAAGGGGTTGAAATGATAAACTTCTCAAAACAGTGGGTAAAAGGGTGAATAAAACTAATTCAGGGGTTAAAATGATGTAATTTCCAAACAAGGATCAAAATTGTAAACTTTTTGGATTTTGGGTCAAAATTGTAGAAGCTGGAAAAAGGTTAGGGCTTTAATCGAAAAATAATTTTCTGGAAGGGCTGAAACTGCCAAAGAATGAGTTTTGAGCTAAAAATATCACTTGAACAAGTCTTGGCTCAAAAGTGTCGAGAAAATGGTTTAAGGGCTTAAAATGTCTTTTTATATATAAAAGGACTAAAATTGTCAATTTTACCAAAGTAGGACTAAAAGGGGTTCAAACCAAGATTTTGAGTCAATTATTTTATTTTAAGATATTTGCGTTACAATAAAATACCAAACTACGATTCATGAAAATGGAAAGATGAAAATATGTATAATTCCAACATCGTTAAAAATAACCGACCGGCCTTGTTCCGGTGCGAAAATTAACAATTACCCAATCAAACTTTCCAACAATTAAACTATACCTAAAACAAGTAAACATTAAATTCTTTGCGCTTGAAAGTTCCAAACATGCTTATTGGGCCTTTGTGACCCCTTAACATGATTTTTGGGCCCAAGGGATAATTATAAATGTTATTGGGCCTTCTATGACCCAATTTCATGTTTAAGGGACCCTCAATGGCTTTTAAGTGCTATTGGGCCTTAGTGGCCCATTAGCATTGGTAGTAAGGTCCACGTGAATCAAATGCGAAATGGGCTAGCGTGTCTTTCGCATATCCAATAGCCTTAAATAATACTTAGGATTAGTAGGATTTATAATCCTCTTCTCCCCGTTTATTAGGCCTATCGTCAATCCAAGTAAACAAATATGGGTCGATAATCAAAAGTAATCAAATTCAATTGGGATTTAGTGAGTAATAACGGGTGGCACCAATGTGTGTCGGTCGTAGTCTGTAGTTATAATCAAAGTCTCCTGGAGGGAGAGCGAGAGTTTGTGTATAGATCTATACGGGGGTGACTCCCCCACACCTCAACTATTCGCTACAGTTAGACTCGGCCAGTCTAGGGTGACAAAATCTTAAGATCAATTCCGCCGTTCACCAGAGTGCCAAGACAGACGAATTAGTCATCATCATGCATGGTTATAACGACTCACATAAATAAACCCAATAAAAATCAAGTAATCAAGGTAAATCAAAATCATTTAAGTGATGGAATAACAATTCGAACACTTATATGATATTTTTTTATGGTCAGAAAACATCGGGTTTTTCGGGGAAGTTCAACATTTTTCACTAGTACTTTTAATACAAAGCTTTTCAATTATACATGTTTTGAAATCATCATGCATATATTTACGGATCTTCACACTTTTATATAAACAATGGTCTTTTCAGAAAATATCGGATTTTCTGGGTTGTTTTCTTACAAACTACACAAAACATTTTCATATCAAACCTGCTTATGAACTAACCAACATTCCATATGTTGACCGTTTTCAAAATAACTTGTATTCTCAGGTAACAGGTAAGCTGAGGAGTAGTAACAAGTATAATAGGGTGTTTTGCTTTTGAGAACTATCAAACAATTTATGTTATGGATTTGTAATGTTAAAACAATGTACTTGATGTGAACAAAGTCAGTTGTAATATATTGATGCATGGTGATGTTTATATTATGATTCATGTATATTCATTGTGATGATATTCAATTTAAGTCACGCGGGCCCTCGGATGTTTCTGTCGTCTGGTTCGGGGGTGTGACAACAACCTTAACAGGATTTGGATAATAGATTATTGTTTTTGATATACCAGTTTATTATAAAATTGTAAAGTGTCCCTTTAGTTTGGTTACACAGAATGTGGTTCTTAAGCTCATGAAAGCGGTTGTTGATGAAGGACTTGAAGTGTTGAATAACGAAGTAAGTCAATCTATTAGTTAATTGATGCAGTTGAAATGTTGTTGAATATATATATATATATATATATATATATATATATATATATATATATATATATATATAATTGTTTCATATTTTTCGTCAATATATTAATTTTTGTCTCAATGTGGGGGAGTAATGAATTTACAGACATTGAGCTTGATAGGGTTTGTGAAGAATGGGCTACTTATGTCACACAAGTTATTTACCACTGATATGTATTTGACCATTACTCTTTGATAAATTTGGAACACACTTTTTAATTTGACACTATAATTTGTGTAATGGATTGCCTTTTTATATATGTATGATATTTTATTTTGCATTATTAGACATTAAGTGTGTAATTTAGTTTGAGTAAGATTTTGCATACATATATACATACATACATATGTGTTGAAAGTTAGTTGTGAATGTATGTCGAAAGCACATATCGTGTTTGTATGTCGTAGTTGTAGGTCATAAATGTATGGCGTAAATTTAATGTCAGGCTAAGTGGCTACCATTTTCTTTTATGACATGATTTTCAATGAAAAAAAATTCCTGTTATATATAGGAAACCATTTTTCTAGTAATAAACCCTAAGTAGTTCTAATTGAGAGAGACATGGAGACTTAGAGATAAGGAGACTGGAAACAAAGGGGAATTTATAAAATTATAATTATATATTGATAATTAAAAGGAGACATTTTTTTCAAGATGATAGACATTAAGAAACACATCCCTCTTTTTTTAAATATGTTTGACACTAAAACATGACACATATTTTTGTATGTTGTAAAACCTTGAGTTTTCACAAATAATGACATATTTTAGGACACATGCATTTGTCTGTCATAAAAGCAATGTATGTCGTAATCCAAGAGTCATTAAATGCATGTTTTCTAGTAATAAGGAACCTTAGTGAATAACTTTTTTTTTTTAAATACTAAAAAGTAGGATGTCTTAATAAAAAAATAAGTGAAAGCACATTTTAAAACTAGATAGTTATAGAATAAAGTATAACACTATCACCAGGTAGATTTGCCAAATTCCATGGGTCTTAATAAAAAAATGATTGAGGTACATTGTTGTAACAAAACGAAAATGAAGAACACTACAATCCACAAATATATGAAAATACATTGCTATTTCTTGAAATTGTTCGTAAACAAGTGACAAGAGATAATACTTTAATCCCACATGCTACTAATATTTCAAAATCTTGGTTCTTGTTAATTGTTGTTTCTTACATTTAGCCTAATATATACAACAATACTTTGGTTACCATATAATGCTATTTATTTCAGTTTAAGAACCATATTAAATGTCTTGTATGTGCATGTCATCGCTTTGTAAGACACTTGGGATGATTTTTTTGACCTCACATCAATAGTTTTTTGTTGTAAAGTTGTGTTATATTAGTTGTAGTAACATAATTCGTCCATGTTCCAATATGACTAACTTTTCGTGTTATATTTATAATTTTAACCATATTTGAATTATCTTTTTCTAGTAGTGCATGTTGTTGTAAATGACATGATTTACAAGAATGCCCCTCAAGATGGTTACATAAAAAGTATTAATCATTATTACATGTATACCTTAGTCAAATTTAACTTATATTTTGGCTCCTGCATTTAAGGCATCTTTCATTCTTTTTGTTCGAGCTCGTGTCATTGACCCAACAATCTCAAAATGGGGATCCCTTTTGTAAAGGTTCGGGCATTGAGCTCGATCAGCGACTACCCCAAAGTTATGATCCATACCTAAAAGAATTATATTTACATCAGTTATGAGAGTTAATTAATAAGAATTTTTTGGAACGATGGGATAAAGGAAACTTTTTTTTTTTTCTAAATTAAGAGATTATCAACACCGATTTTGTATTAATTTTTTTTCCCATTTATTTGATCAAATTGATGGATCATATTAGTTACCACACTTGATAAGGAAAGAAAAAGAAACATAGCCCAAATTGATTGGAACACGAGTTTCAACCCAAATCTTGTTTAATTTGTTGTGTGGTTTGAACATGTGTTCTTAACATTCAAACTTCTAGCTATCTGCTAAAAGAAAAAAAAAAAAAAAAAGGATAAATAACAATAGTATGCTAACCCTTTTATGTATTATGTTAGAGCCGATCTTTTTGAAATATGGTACTATTATTAATAATAAATGATTTTCAATTTTGTTCTTGAAATATGGTACTGTTAGCTACCCTAATAAATGAAAATGTTTTTGCCAAATGTATTCCTCTTCTTAATTTTGACACTTGATATTTTTTTCATTATTTTATAGTAATTCTTTTTCCAGATGTCGTTTTCTTATTTTTGTTTCAATGACACATCATTATATTAATGAATTCCGGTGATAATGATATATCAAAATCCGTTCATTCTTTCTTTAAATCACTCAATGTCACGCAAGATTTACACTCTTTAATTAGAACACTCAAGGCTAAAATCGCGCATTAATGTCGTATAGGCATTTCAAATTCACAACTACTGCTCTAGATTTTGATCTTAATAACTAATAATATTTATGTTGATTTCCTAAAACCCCATCTTCCCCTACACCCCCACCTAATTGCAATTGTGAAGCCCTTCCTATTATCCTAATACCAGTTCTCCTCCTTCATCGCAACTCCTGCAGGACACTATCGACATATTGTTTTTGTATTTGTTACCTACTAGGTCTTCCGACATCTCTTGCTCCTATCGATAACTATTGGATAATCCTAAAAAAGTTCATCCCCATCTCCTATCCTAAAACCAAATCTTCTCTTCCCTAATTTATCTTTTATACGGTTTCTATAAATTAGATTCATTAGCTTTTCTATTTACTAAAACTAACATTATGTGTTTCATTTTCATTGTTGATTGCTCTTCTCCTATCGATAACTATTGGATAATCCTAAAAAAGTTCATCCCCATCTCCTATCCTAAAACCAAATCTTCTCTTCCCTAATTTATCTTTTATACGGTTTCTATAAATTAGATTCGTTAGCTTTTCTATTTACTAAAACTAACATTATGTGTTTCATTTTCATTGTTGATTGCTCTTCTCCTATCGATAACTATTGGATAATCCTAAAAAAGTTCATCCCCATCTCCTATCCTAAAACCAAATCTTCTCTTCCCTAATTTATCTTTTATACGGTTTCTATAAATTAGATTCGTTAGCTTTTCTATTTACTAAAACTAACATTATGTGTTTCATTTTCATTGTTGATTGCTCTTCTCCTATCTTCAGTAAGGGTTCTCGGCGTCTTCAATATGATTAACATCCCTTCTTCCATCGGTGTATTAACCATTAGAGGTAAATCTGGGTGCTTTGTATTTGTATTATTTGAATCAATCTTTCATGGTATTTGCTTCTCTAATTCTTTCTCTCTCTACAAAGTACTTCAGGTGTGTGGAATTTGTTGTTAAATATGGGTTTTAATAGCCTTTTGAATAAAGTTCCAATTGAAACCAAGAAGGATGAAGCAATTTTCCATAAGGATCTTCAAATCGTAAGTTATTCATAAACACTGCTTAGTTTGGATAATTGGTCATTTTTGGTCGATTTAATTTACATACTATCACCTTTATTACTTATTGATGGAATTTTTAATTTTGTATCACATAATTGTTTATTATTTTACCAAATCGTGTAGACTTGGTTGCACTTTTCCATCTCCATATGCACTTCTTTTCCTTTGAGTTTATCAATTTTGTATTTTGTTCAGACAAATGTTTGATTAAATGCTTGAACCAAATATATCAGTTTAATTGATATGTTACTATGTTATTATTTTCTACTGTTTATGTGTAATATGGAAGAAGGTGAGGACATTCTATAACAAGCACAAGGTTTCATGGATAAGAAAGGTATGTTAGCTTCTCCTTTACATATCGATATGAATTGATATGATAATAATAGGTGGGCCCTAACTCATTCCTGATGTTTTTTTTCCAAATAAAGTTCATTTCTTCCCGGTTTCTCCTCAACTATGATATTGGATGAAAGCATGATAGATAAACACAAATATTAATGAAGAGAAATTTGGATAATTTAAAATAATTTACTAGACATTCATTTGATCCTTACCATTGGTAGTGACATATGCTTTGTTATTACAACGATCATTGATGATTATTGCTACTTAGATGACTGACTATCTCATTTGTATGGGTAATAAGCATCATATTTAAGCTCATTTTTAGACTTTCATGCCATTATCTACCAAAAAAGTCATTTGTTTATTTTTAAATTATGAAAAAACTGGCTGATTTTGTAGGACTCACTGGTGGCAACATCCTTTCCATGTATAAAGGTGGTGACTATAAATTTCATGCTACTGGGAGAGAGTATATAGATGTATGATTACATCAGGGCCGGTCCAGACGGTGGGCAACCCGGGCGACTGCCTAGGGCCCACGACTCTAGGGGGCCCAAAATTATTGGGCTATGTAGTGTATATATATATATATATATATATATATATATATATATATATATATATATATATATATATATATATATATATATATATTACCAATAAGATTTTTAGAACCTAAAGTTGGTTCAAACTCAAACTAGCTCAAAAAATAAACAATTTGGCTTGCTTGTTATTGCTAATTGAAGGTGTTTTTAGTGAACAATAATTGATATTTTTTTGAATCTTTATTATACTTTTATTTAAGGGGCCCTTTTTTTTCGCCCTGGGCCCTATATACGTTTGGACCGGCCCTGGATTACATTCTTTACTCCTGTAATTTTTTAGACTTTTTATCCGTTAGATGTGCTTTAATCATAAAAGCTTTACTTTCCGCGTGAGGATGTTGGGGTCATCTATGCCATATTTGGTTGAGATACAAAATGCTTGTCATGTCCCTTATGCGGTATCTATAAAAGAAATGAAAAACAAGGTAAATAAGTCAAACCTAGTGAGTTAGGCTTAAATTGAAATTTATATAAGTCACGTTTGTTATAATGGACAAACTTTTTAGGGTTATTTTTATTTGAGATGAGGGGCATTTATGTCTTTTGCGCAAATGATAGATCAAGAGTGAGTCTTTATCCTACCTTTTGGGATGAAACAAAAAGTTGTAATTTTTTTCCCTATTGGAATGGAATAATCAAGCTTTGTAGGATGATTTTTTAGGTTGGGGATGTCGAGTGAAATTATGTATTTGGTATAGACTAGAGATTGTTATTTACTTTTTTGTCAGGGTTTTTATTTTTTCTTAGCAATAAAAGTAATATTGGTCCATCTGTCCAATTCTATTATCATATTTATGATAATGATAAGTTTATTTTCTTTGTTTTTACTTTTTAGCATGTTTAGATGGAAAGTATCGAAGATTGAAAGGTTAGGCACGTATCATATTTATAATATGTCAACATTTTTTTCTTAAAAATATATTACAACTGTCTATTTATTCATTATTTCGTTTGTATTAATTTTGAGGATTTACTTTAAAAAATATTAATGTTTACACATTTATATTCATCACTATTATTTAAAATATGTTAAAAGTTATCTTTTTATTAATGTAGATTGAATTATTTATTCATAACTTCGTTTGTATTTATTTTAAAATTTACTTTAAAAAATATTTATTATTTACACCTTAATATTTATTTTTTTTAATTAAACCGTATAGTCCACAAATTTCACACCTAATTAATAATAAATGACTTTCAATTTTGTTCCGTACAAATACTTTATAATAATAATTTTGTTCCATTTGTACAAATACTCTCCCCAATTCTAGTATCATATTTATGATAATGATAAGTTTACTTTGTTTTTACATTTTTGCATCTTCTAATGGAAAGTACCCAAGGTTGAAAGGTTAGGCGTGTATCATATTTATAATATGCCAATAGTTTTTTTATAAATATATTACAATTATTTATTTATTCATTATTTCGTTTGTACTGTTCGATATTTATTTTAAAAAATGATTAATGTTTACACAATTATATTCATTACTATTATTTAAAATATAACAATAGTTTCTTTTATTAATATAGATTGAATTACTAATTTATAATTTCGTATGTATTTATTTTAAAATTTACTTTAAAAAATGTTTAATGTTTACACCTTAATATATATATATATTACAGTTGATATTCATTACTACCCGATTGTAAAAAAAATGTTCGACGTTTCCTAGTCGGTAGATTACAGTTAAAAGATTAATCAACTACCTGATGATTAATCGGATAATTAAGCGGAGATCATTGCTGATTCATTGAATTTTATAAAATTAAATATGACTAATATAAAAATAAAGTTCATAAATACTATTAATATTATAACAAAATAAGCTAATATAATTAATACAATATTAATCATACTATAAATAATTTCTATTGAGATATAACTTCTTTAAGATTTTAAAATTTCATTGTTTTCTTCTGATTCGTTCAATTTTAGTCATAGATTAATCATTAGACGCATTGTATTCAGTCGGGTAGCACGTATGGACTAATTATAAATTAATTGGAACTTAGAGGTGATTTTTATAACTCTGTCAAAACCTAAAATTGCCATTTACCCCTCTATTAAAAAAACTATTATACAAGTTACATCCTTTTCTATTTGTATTTCGTTATATTTCCATTTAAAATGTATATTAGAAAGGACTATTATACATGTGACATCATTTTCTATTTGTATTTCGTTGTATTTCCATTTAAAATGTATATTAGAAAGGACTATTATACAAGTGACATCATTTTCTATTTGTAATTCATTATATTTCCATTTAAAATGTATATTAGAAAAGATAGAAGATATATTTTTTTTCAATAGATTAACAATATCAATTATTAACTCATTTCAAACTTCAAATCCTCTAATCTTAAGCAATATCTTTATTTTTAAATGTTTTTTAACAACTATTTCGTTATACCATATATAATTGTTGTTGCCATATTTAATATATCAAATTTAACTTTTTAACATTATACTTTTATGTTTTTCTCATTAATCATAAATTAAATAACATTATTAAAATTTAATAACCATATCAAATATTATTTATACATAAGATCGTAAACTTAACAATATACATTAGTTTTTATATAAACAAATTTCTTTGTAATTGGACTGTGAATATCTTTTTTTATTATATAATTTTTTTTTATTGTTATGTAACACGTGTTTACAACCTAGTTGACGAATAAAACCAGGTTTGATAAATAATTTCGGCTAAGAGCATTTAACATTATAAGTTTTTGGGTTAATGTCATAAAAACCCTCAAGTTTACATGATTTTGTCGGTTTTTCCCAAAGTTGAATTTTATGTCCGTTTTTACCCTAACATTTTTGAAAAAATGTTCGGTTTTACCCTTTTACCGGTAATAACAGGTTTTCCAGGTTACCATTATATTAAATTCGCAAAAAAAAACCCTTAAGTTTACCATTTTTTGCGTTTTTACCCCTAAATTTATAATTTTTTTACAATTTTACCCTAAGTATTATTTTCATAGTATACGTAATCATGTAGAAACATCGTATTTATATACGAAAAAATGTTTAATTAAATATTGTATTCATATTTTTTTTTAATGTTATATATATATATATATATATATATATATATATATATATATTTGTTTGTTTGTTCTTGTGTGTGTGTGTGTTTGCAAGGTTATACCATTTGAAAAGATAAATAATATTTTTAGAATTATGAATACGTGTTTTATAGATATAGTTTTTAGAAGTATAAATACATATTTTTACATTATTATATATAAATATGTATATATACTTCTAAAAATATATTTATACTTAAAAAAACATATATCAAAATACATATTTACACTTCTAAGATTATATGTATATATTTATATAAACATGTTTATGATTCAACAAGTTTTTTTTATTGACATGTATATTTTTAAATGCATAAAAATATGTACTTGTAGTTCTAAAAACATATTAATTTGCGTTTTTTTTTTTACATCTTAAATGGTTTATCCAAGAAAAAACCCATACACACAGATATATCTTTACTATATATATATATATATATATATATATATATATATATATATATATATATATATATATGAAGAAATAGCATTGAAAAAAATGTAAATACAATATTTAATTAATTTTTTTTTTGTATATAAATATAAATTTTCTGCATGAATACATATAATATGAAAAAGAAAATACAAATGGTAAAAGTGTAAAAAAATATATAAACTTAAGGGTAAAAACGTAAAAAACTATAAACTTAAGGGTTTTTTTGGGAAGCTAATATAATGGTAACCTGTTATCACCGGTAAAAGGGTAAAACCGAACATTTTTTGGAAAATGTTAGGGTAAAAACGGACATAAAATTCAACTTTGGGCAAAACCGATAAAACCCTGAAAACTTGAGGGTTTTTATGACATTAGCCCTAAGTTTTTATATAGCTTATTACCATACATGTATATTTTTTACCACTTAATGTCATTGGATTTGACAACTTATTTGTTTTTTTTTTAACTTGATCGTATTATATATATATATATATATATATATATATATATATATATATATATATATATATATATATATATATATATATATATATATATATATAGAGAGAGAGAGAGAGAGAGAGAGTTAGGTTCAAATATTTTCACTATCTATTGTATGCATGTATGATTAATTTTGGATCAATCATTTTAGTTATTTTAAGAAAATAATTAATACATATTAAATGCTAAAGATGTAATTAATATCCATTATATCTTCAACATATAATATGCATTAATTAGTTTTTTAAAATAAATAAAATAATTGGTTCAGAATCAATCATACATGCACACAATAGATAGTGAAAACAAAATAACCTAATCACACACACACACATATATATATATATATATATATATATATATATATATATATATATATATATATATATATATATATATATATACTTTTACTAAATTTTATATATAATCCCTTCTACCTTAAGTATATTTCATTTTACCTCTTTAATTATAATTTACTTGTAGATAATTTTTATTTATTTACTAGTTAATTATACCTATTAAAAATTTAATACATCTCATTTATAAGATATAAATTAAATGCTTTTAATTTATTTTTGTAACTACAATATAATAATTTTTCGTATTTTATACATACAAATAGTAAAACGATATATTTGTATTTATACATTCATCTTAAAATATTATTTGTGTTTAAAAAATAGACGAATTAAACATGGAGGTTTTATAAAGGCGAATTTTGTATAAATCATTTTTAAACATCAAAATATTATATTTATCTAATTTAAATTTTAAATAAATTACTTACTTTTTACCAACTTTTAAAATATCATATTTATCCAAATTTTTATTTTTAAGATTTCTAAACATATTATATTCATTTATTTTTATTAATTTACCATAATACCATTTTTCTATATTCTGAGTCCTATTTCATGCTGACACAACTTTTGATAATTGCTTCAGTGCACTAATCATGTCTTTAATAACCAAAGTCCTTAACTTCTCACCATTGGGTTTTAATCGATAACTTTTACCTAATTAGAGGTCTTGATTTCCTAATAAACAAAAACTTAACTTTGTATAGGCTAGTTCTACGGTAATTTGCATTACTTGAAGAGGTCATTTACTGTTCTAGAAGGTTTGCACTGATGAACTCGCACAAAATGTTATAGATAAATGTTAATTTTGACATTGATGAGACGTATTCTTCTAGAAGGGTTTTCACTCTATGTGGATCCTGATTTTCAGGTTCTAGACATTTGTTAATCAAACTTGATTCATGATTCTTGTTTTCAACTAGGTTGAATAGGTTTGAGAAGCTGACGACTTTGGTTATCAAAGAGAGATAGATTCAGGTGACCGAAACAGTTACTAAGAAAAGTTAAAATGGGCTCGAATTTATAACTATCTAAGGTATAATAGTCACTTTATAAAAATAATTGATTATAAAATATTTAAAGAAAAATTAAAATAAAGATTTGAGCAAGATATATTGAAAGTTATGAAGGTAGATAGAATATTTAGAATTTATATCGAACAAATATGATATTTTGATATTTTAGAAGCACATATACGAAATTCTTCCTCGTAAAGGATTTTAAATAGATGAGGATAAATTACTTATATTTATAAAACAAACTTTTAAATAAGCTTAACCATTGGAATGATAACTTATTTAGAGGTTAAAATTAAACATTCATTATATGAAGATGTGACACTTATTCCCCTATTCTAATTGATACCGGAGATGCTCTTAGTATTCTAAATCGATTCACTCAACTAAAAGTCCTAACTTTGTGTTAGTATTTTCCTCGTGTGAGTTGAGGAAATATATCAGGCTTTCGTTGTTCATTGCTCATCGTTCTTACTGTCCTCTCTCGTTTTTTTCTACTTCTTTTCTTTCTTTGAATTTGAACATCCCAACACCATTTCAAAGCTCTAGTCACAGGCTTGAAAGCCAAAAGTAGAAGGGTAAGAAGATGTATGCTTGAAGACAAAGTTGTATCATTCCTATTTGGGTGTTGGGGTTATGTGGATTTTCTATGTCATTTTATAAAAATAAAAGGTTGGAGGTAAACTTGGTTTTCAAATTTCAAAAGAATGGAACAAAAATTACACAAAGTTTCATATAAAGAGAACTTGAATGATAAAATCTGTTAACAAAAAAGTTTAGGGCCCCTAAGTTAAACAAATCTGAATCTTGGTTATATTTAACTATACTGAACTTAGTTATACCTTGAAAACGTGTATTTGGAAGTACCTGGATCCGAGGGGTTTACAGAGTTAGCACCAGGGTTAGAATGCATTGCATCTGGCATGGGATTTTGTGATATCGTTTCCATAACCTTCATCTTCAAGGCTATCTTCCGCAAATAATCATTCTGCAAACCAAATATTATGAAGATTTAAACTTACGGTATATATATGGCAAAATGATATATCGCCAATCAAAAGCAAAAGCTATTATAATAAAAAAAAACACATCGCAAAACCTGATTTGCAGTTGTTGGAGAAGTATAAATCTTCTGTTCAAATTTCAAAGCTATTTTTCTTAGTTCCTGTAGGCCCTCTGCCTCAGCCTCTGGTCCAGAAATCGGAATATATCTCTTCAAGATATCAGTTCTACGTAATATCAACATGTATCAGTCAAAAGAAGTAGGTAACTTTTTGAAGATATTTCCTATATAAAGCGTGATTTTACCCGTCAAAAAAAATATAGAAAACCAGCCACAACAAGCAATCCAAGTGTAATTGCAATTCAAGAAGTGTAAGGAAACAAGTGAGAAAAAAAAAAAAAAAAAACACAGCCATGCGCTGAATACGTAAAAAGTTTGAACCATTACAAAAGCAATAAGCCCTAAAAGAATCTATACTTTCAGAATTTTAGATGTGTGAACATTCTTTTTGAGTATATATTTCTGTAAGCATGGTAATTAATTTTACGGGTCTATTAGCTTAGGTGTGTGTTTTTTTTTGTTCCCTTTTCTTGTAATGGTTTCTTTGTCGATTAATATAGAGAATATGATTTCTTAGGGTAAGATTAGCAACAAAATCCCAAAAGGTAACATCACCATCGTTATAGACTTACAGTTAAATAAATTCTTAACAGATTAGCATAAACAAATTCTTAAAGAAAAAAATACGTAAACACACATCTTGTTCACGATCCTGTTCCGTGAAATATCTGTCAGCTGAGACCTCCAATCACCAGATTCCATAGAGGATTCACAAACAGTGTTACTTCAAGTTATCGAACTGCGATTTGAGTTTTGAATTAGCATGTGATCAAACATATCAGTATAATATATGTTTAGATGTTTCGCTTGAAGCAATCTACAAAGCTTAAACTTAATTCATGAGTGATAGTGAAAACAAGAATTAAATAGCTAGCTTACATTAAGGAATTGGACGTATATAGCTGCTCTTTCTCCCTCTCTATCAGAAAAAAGCGAAATCCAACGATCCAAAAGTAAACGAGATGAGAGAATTTGAAGCGATTGAGTGTAGTTGTAGGAAAAGTCAAATTGCATATATAAGGTCTTGCTCGCTTATTTATGGACCCTCCTTCGACGAAATAGTGAACACAATCCACGTGGACGAATTTATTATGTTAAGGGCATCTGGAATACATAATTAATTGGTTAAATTAAGAGAAAATTTCAAAAAAGTTTCCTACGATTTTGTAATTTTGTGGTTTTGACCTAAAAATGTTTGGACTTATATATATTTTCTTTTGTGATTTTGGTCCTTCAAGGTAACAAACGTTACTTCTCATGGTTAACTTGTACCACATGCTTATAAGGCATGGGGCATTTTCGTCAAACGGCTGGTATAACACCCAACATTTTATATATTAAAATAATATGATGGGATGATTTGTAAAACATTTTTTGTTATAGGACCCCAATTATAAATTATGGTACTAAAAATTTTCAACTCATTTACAAATATATTTGTAAAACTATCAATTCGGTTATTACAATTGATACAAATAAACCATTATAAAACTGCTAGGTTGTTTACATCATTAGAGATTTATGATATTTAAATAATATTTCATAAGATAATCAATGTCTCCCGAGCTACATTGTTTTGGACACAAAATTATTATGAAAATCATTTCATAAAACTGTATATTAAAATGCATTTATAAACACAATGTAGACCATGTTATGCATGTTCTCACTCAATACAAGTCTTATGGGGCTTCCCGAACCTTAGCGACCCGTCGATTCGAATATCCAAAAGGATGACCCCAAATAGGTTAGTCACCAAAGGTGACTGAGTATGCTAACCGATACGAGGAAGTGATCCTTCATAACATGATCCCATAAGTACACCCGTAATTTGGCTAGTCACAATAAGTGACTTAGAACGTTGACCTTTACCGAGGAACAACATCCGGGCAAGGCCCAAGACATAGTACATGTAGGGCCCTTGGGCAACATTGGTCCCTACGTGGACCCCTTGGGGAAGCCGGAAAATATTTTCTAATAATTACTATGTAATTTTCTCATATGATGCATTCGAAAAGACAATCAAGAAAGAGAATGTTTTGGCATGTTGTGATAAATGAAAAGTAATTAAATGAACCAACAAAGAAAAATCCCGCTCTATCAATTTCGTATGAATTTCAAAAATCAAATTCAAAGGTTTTTTCAACGAAGTTTTCAAAATCATCATCTCTAAAGATTTTTCAAACAAATTATTCTCAAAAGCATTCTTATTCAAACGGTCATCAAAAATTTTCATCTTTCACAAAATCAACAAATGTTAACAACAGATTTTCTTCAAAAAAAAAAAACAAATCAAAAGTTTGAGAATATTCGAAAATATGAAAATGTTCGAAACTTTGAAAATATTCGAAAATTTGAAAAAAGTTCGAAAATCTGACAACAATCAAATATTTATAAAAGCAATTTCCAAAACAGCTTCAAAGTTTATTCAACAAAAACCAAGTTTTCCAAATACATCTGCACATAAAGAGACCAAAGTTTCATACACGAAAGGAATATCTGAAGTGGAAACCATGAATCATTGGCTTAAAAACAATGGGAAAAGTATTAATCTTGGAAGTTTTCGCAACATCAAATCAAGAAGGCCTATGAACAATATTTGAATGATCCTTCATTTGAAAGTTTATTTTCGAAAGAATCAAATACTCCAGTTCAAAGATGGCAACCAATCTAAAAAGAAATACAATCTACGAAAGATGAGAAGAAAGTTGGTGAATGTTCAAAACTTTTGAAAAATTATATTTCGATATTTTTAATTGATGATGTCGACTTAATTGATTCTTTCAAAACTAAAGTTCGAAGCTAAGCTTTAAATTCTAAAATTCATTCAGTAAAGTCAATCAATCCAATCAAATGCCAGACTTGTTTCTGCTATCTTTTAGCATTGTTAGGAGTCTGTTTGAGGGTTCTAAGCCAAGTACACTTAGGGATTGGGTGTAGGGTTATGATAGCTTAAGTTCATTGGTTTGCATTCGAACAGGAACACACCATTTCAAAGAGTTTACGACCGCAAACTAGGAGTTTACGGTCGTAAACTCCTCCCATATACATGATATTCCTTCATTTTTCACCACTTCTCACCCTTCTATGTCTAGAAACTCGAGTCTCTCTCAAGTATCATTGAGTTCTTCATCCTAGATCTTCAAAAACGTAAGTGATTCTTCCATCTTTGAGTTGTTATCCTTCTTAATTATGTATCATCCTTTGATTTCATCCATGGAAATCATCTTTTTGGGTAGATCTTCAAGATCTTCATCTTTCACCAAGAACACCAATAACACACTTGTTCTTGGTGGCCGTGAACCCTCTTTGAGCCTCCAAAACGTAAGTATCTTTTTCATATGCTTAGTATAAGTTAGAAACTTGTGTTAAACACCTTAGAATCGACCAAATTAGCTGGAACAAAAGGAGTGTACGACCGTACACACCTCAAAACACCCCAAAAGGGCCTCCAAAGTCAGAATCTAGTTCATATTCTTGATGAGCTATCGACCCACTAGGTTTCCCATTGTTCAAAGACCCTGTTATGCATGTTTGACCATGATTTTACGACCATACACTCCATGGCCGTAAACACCAACTTGTGGCCGTATACACCCCTTTGATAAATCACATGTGATTTTAACACTTAGTCCAAGTGTTTCGTAGTCCCTAAGGGTGTTTCCTTGCATGTTAGTTGCTTTAAACACTAAATTCATGCCAATATATGCTATTATATGTCATTAGGACTCGTTAGTGTCTCGAGACTTCATTCGTGGAACTTCTCATCCTTACACGCATATTCGATTGAATCACCCACATAACCTGAGTTCATACCCCTATAATCAATCTTTTAAACAGTTTTAAATGCTTTTAGGGGGGGGGGGATACAAGTTGGACACAATGATAATTGTGTATATGTTCTGTTATAAACATCTTTTAAAGGATTTATTATGTATTTATAAGTGATCAAAACATTCTAAAAACTCTTTGTTACTTTATAGTTTACAAAACTCTATTTGTAAAGTACAATCATAACTTAGTAGATAAAATCAGTCGTTTCTTCAAGTCAATATTAGTTTAAGTAAACATACTAGTAAACTATAATAGGTACAGTTTAGAGGTTCAGTTCACACTAGAATATAGAGAACATGCTATAAAGAGAAACAAGGAGGTAGATATAATACACAATAACATAGAGAACATACTATAAAGAGAACTAGGGAGGAAGATACAATATACGATAACAGAAAGAACATACTAAATACTATAACAGAAGAACAAATCATGATTAACATCATTATACTAATGATTACTAACTCATTGTTCTAAACAAAAGGTGATAATAAATGTGGTATACAAGATAAATTTAATGTGAGACTACTTCTTGACTTAGCAATTTGTTTGTTGAAGTCGTGTTTTGTAACCAAAATCTCTTACAGGGAAAGCGTATAGTATGGGTACAACCATATCACATTATGACCCTAATATAACAAACTAGTTTTAAGGTTGTTAATACTTCAGTTGTGTCAATTTAAAAGACAACTGAAAACTTGCATCAATACAAGAGACAAACAGAACAGTCGAGTTATAGTACATTCAGTAGAAAGAGGGCCTATAATGCTAACTTTATGATTCCTTAGTTTATACATTAGGAATATATATTAATCGGATCTGACAGGTAGTATGATGTGTGCTTTCCGCTCCATTTCCCGTTTCTAGTTTGGTTGTAGGCTTAGAGCAAATTTACCTAGCCTACTATCTACGTGATCTTAGCTATGTATATATATTCCGTATACACCAAGTAATCATAAGGAGTACCACGTATGGGCCAAGTCATAGTATACAAATTCAATACACTATTCTCTAGTACAAAACATACTTTTCAAATAGAACATTTGGTAGACAAAACTAGAAACTTACCAGTAATGGGTTTAACCCATTTTATGAAACCAGTATAACTTAAAGGACCTTAAGTGGTTAATTCTATAATACCTTAGTTTATACATCAGGGCTATATATAATTAATACCTAATAGGTAGTTGGATGTGTGCTTTCCGCCTTACTTCCTATTCCTTGTTTGGTTGTGGGCTTAGGGCAGATTCACATAACTAACTAGCTATTCGATATTAGATTATATGTAGCTAGTATAAACTGAGTTATTATAAAAGGAACCATTGTGGTTACCATTTTTACTAAAAGAAATAATGGTTTTCTTAAATAATGTTTTCATCAAATATAAAGGAACTATTGCGGTTAACTCCATGAGTACCAAGTGAATACGCTAGGGTTGTATACAACGAAGATCTAACAAACAATGGGATGTGTGCCTTCTACCTCATTCTCTATTCCTTGTTTGGTTGTGGGCTTAGGGCAGATACACACACTTGATTGTTTGTTTACTCTGGGTTTTATATAACTTGTATCCATTTAGTACTCATTGAAAGGATTGTAGAGTCATTTTTACTTAACTTTCATCATCTCAAAAGATATAGGATCTTCTGGAGGAACATGCGAACTTTTCTAAAAAGAACTTACAACTTACATTACATCACTAAAATCTTATGAACTCACCAGCTTAAATGCTGATCTACTCTTTCAAAATAACTTGTATTCTCAGGAGACCAGTAGACAGGTTCGCACACTGGGATTCAACAGATGGAGCATAATAGCTTCATGTCTTGTTTTGTTATTTACATATGTAGTCTATGTTATGTGAACCACATACTTTGTAAACACTTTCTTTTAATGAAATGGTTGTTTATTACTTTGATTACTATGATGCATGTCTTTTGATACTAAACATGACATCCTTTGCCCCCGAACGTTTCCGCCGTTCCGGTTTGGGGGTGTGACACCAAACAACCTTGGGTACCTAAATTCTTTCAATGATTGCAGGTGCTATGTGATGAGAAATATGATGAGAAATGATATATTGATAGTGGTTTGCGTGATTTTCGAAGTTTAGAAAATGCTGGTGTAGTGAAGTTTGGAAATAATCATAATGTCAACTTAAAGGTTATGGCAAAGTAACGAATGGTCAATTTATAGTGAATTTTGTTGCTTATGTGGAAGGCCTTCAACATAATTTGATAAATGTTTCACAACTTG